TTAAGACTCTTTACTTTTGACAGTAAGTGACTCGCGCGACGAGCTGCTGAATAGCCGCATGGAAAAGTCAATGAACAACAAACAACAGTAACAAACTGCAACAGCAGCAGCAGCAACAGCAGCCCGCGAGAGTGAAGGTCGACTGTGTGTCGTCGAGTGAGTAAAGAAGAAGAGAAACGACGACGGGGAGCGCCACCGCCACCCCTCTGTAGTCCGAGACTGCCGTCGAAGGGGCGTTAGCGTTCATTTACAGAGCGCGGGCCACGATCAAGATCCTTGCCACGACGACAGGGCGCGGTGGGTGTGATATTTACGAGCGATTAAAATGCATGCTATACTATACGGTCGTGGGGCCGGGCCGGGCGGGGCGGGGTGGTGGGACAGAGTGAGGAGGTCGTGTTGGACAGAAGCGGACAGGAAAGCCACACCTCCAGATCACCTCAGCGTACCTCTACACCTCCACCCGAGACGCATCGCACAGGGTTATGCGGTCAGGCACACATTATCCCCCCTTCTTTTTCTTTCCGTAAGGACCCAAGTAGACAAGAGAAGGCGCGATAAACAAGGGGACAGAGAGAGAGAGAGAGAGAGAGGGGGGGGGGAAGGAGCAGGCTCAGTCACAAGCAGCTTGCTTCTCGACCACGTCAGCAAGGACCTTCCTCGGATTGGGAGGACGTGCGGGGAGGTGTGGGTGAGGAGGGAGAGGTACAGGCGGGCACCTATAGTCCCTTCCGACCATCGCCGTCACGGGGGAACGTGACGAGGAGCCCAACGACTGACTACACTCCGAAGTGTAGAAGGGTGTGTCTCCTGCTGAGAATGCGGGCTGCGAATGGGGTCCCTTTCGCACCCCCTTACACGATAAAAACGACGTCCTTTGGTTTCCGACGGTTTCCGAGCAGCCAAGCATTGTATCATCGAATAAATCATGGGGACGTCTTAGTTTCTCCAAAACAGCTTGAAGGCACAAGGACGTCGTTTTTACCGTGATTCGTGCAGTACAAGTACAACCGCCTTGTGAAGTGGGCGCATCGTCGGCGCTGCAGCGAGAAAACAAAATCGGTCCGCCCAACACCCAACTACTCTATTCTCAACACAAGGTTAATTTTCAAACAGGAAAGTGATCCGTTATCGCCAGAGAGAGTGTAAGGCTTACAACGTAGCAAATAAAAAGAAATAATCTGTTCGCCCTGGCCTGTCACAGCCCAGGTCTTGAGCCCCACCCCGCCGGCCGGCCGTCGGTAATCGCATTACTCACGTGTGTGAGGAGGCTCCGACAGGCGGCCGGCGGGGACCCGGCGGGCACCAGCACAGATTTACATTTATTTAAACAGAGGGGACCGTTCTAAATCTCTTACCTCTTTTCTTTCCATGACTTAAAACTTATATATCGCCACGGAGAGCAGGAACAATTTTTGAGATATGACAAACGCTTCTTAAATTCAGTATGGGTAAAACAAAGTTTCCTAATTGTATAAAAGTGCTTCCGAGATTCTATGAGCACGATTTGGTATGCTCCTCGGTTTAAATTACGCGGGGAGAAAAACAAGTGGGTTGTCGCAGAGTCTCAACGCGCCAGAAGCCTGCGGCTTTGCGGTTTTCCTCCCTCTCAAATCCGCCGGGTGAGACAAGTTGCCATAAGTTTTGGAGTGTTTAGCGCGCTGCTCTCCTCGAGGCCAGGGCTGAGTGCGGCCTCGGTCAGGGCGGCCGGGGGGCTCGGGTCTGGCTGGGCTGGACTCGGGCCGCAGCGGCCGCTTTAGACAAATCGGCAACTCTTGTCAGCGAATGGCTCTCCGCGGCCCAACCAGTACTGCGCACGCGCGGACCTCCGGGACGATATGCGGGACACAGAAGTGTGCAAAGAGAACAGAGAGAGCGAGAAAGACAGAGATAGAGTGGAGAGAGAGAGAGAGAGAGAGAGAGAGAGAGAGAGAGAGAGA